ACATCAACATCGACGACTGCTGGTCTGCCAAGCAGCGGGACGCAGCGGGACAGCTGGTTCCCGACCCTGAGAGGTTTCCCAGTGGGATTAAGGCTCTGGCTGACTATGTAAGTGCCTGCTGGGGATGGCGTGTCCCCATGCCACCATGGCGGGAGAGCTGGGAGGGGATGGAGGAGCCTGGTCCCTGGGAGGCACCTCGAACTCCCTCGTCCCCTCCTTACAGCTCTCCTCTCCTCACAGGTCCACGCCCGGGGCCTGAAGCTGGGCATTTACGGCGACCTGGGCACCCTCACCTGCGGGGGCTACCCGGGTACCACGCTGGACCGCGTGCAGCAGGACGCCCAGACCTTTGCGGAGTGGGGTGTGGACATGCTGAAGCTGGATGGGTGCTATTCATCGGGAGAGGAGCAGGCAGAGGGTAAAGGCTTCCCGTCCAGCAGCTGGCTGTCTGCAGAAACGCTGGCCAGCTGGTTCTTCCCTTGCATCTCCTGTTGCAGCTCTTGGGCAAAGAGGAGGGAGTTTTTACTTTTTACAAGGGCATGCAGTGGCAGGATGAGGGGTAATGGATTTAAACTGGAAGGGGTCAGATTTAGACTGGATATTATAAAGAAATTCTTTACTGTGAGGGTGGTGAGGCACTGGAACAGGTTGCCCAGGGAAGTTGTGGATGCTGCATCCCTGGAGGTGTTCAAGGCCAGGCTGGATGAGGCTTTGAGCAACCTGGGCTAGTGGAGGGTGTCCCTGCGGGTTGGAACTCGATGATCTTTGAGGTCCCTTCTAACCCGAACCATTCTATGATTCTGATTGTATTTGGGTGCCCTAGAGCTGGTGTAAGGCAGGAGGCCAGGCTGGGCTGAGGTCCCCCTGGCTGGGTGGGCTGTGATGCAAGCTGCTACCAGCTGTCCTCTTCACCAGTTGTCATCTTCTCTCCCTAAGGCTACCCAGAAATGGCGAAAGCCTTGAACGCCACAGGCCGCCCCATCGTCTACTCCTGCAGCTGGCCAGCGTATCAGGGAGGGCTCCCCCCCAAGGTGAGGGCTGTCCCGTCCAGTGGCTGTTTCTTGTGTCCCCTGTGCTCTGGGGGAGCTTTTGTTGGAGCTGCAGGAGCCAGGTGTTACACCCCACTTATCGCTCTGCCCCTGGTAGGATGGGCTGCAGGTCCCCAGAAGGGACGTGGCCTCCCTGCCAGGCATCTGGGGACATTTGGGGTTCCCAACATGGGTAGGTGATGGGAGTTTGGGGGAAGAAGGCCTTGGGGCATGCCCCCTTAACCCCACTCAGCTGGTCTGGGATTGATCCTGACTGTCTGTTCTTCTGAGACAGGTCCTGCTTTAAGTGCTTGAAATAGGATGTTCCTCATATTAACGTTTCCTGAGAATTGATGACATTTATTTATTTCCTGTTTCACCTTCTGAGTCAATCCCAAGCTGCCCTCATTCTTGCGGTTGATCATACTTCCCCATGGCCTCTCTGGTTGTTTTGCCAGACATCCTATCATACTGGGATGTGCCCAGTCACACTGGGATATGACTCTGTCCTCCTTCAGTACATAATGTCACCCTTCTCCAGTTCCCTCTGCCTTTCACACACTTTATGGATGCTGTAGCTCTCAACAAGTCTGGCTGCCCCTTCTCCCCCACCTCCCAGAGCAGGTCCTTTCTCCTTCCTGCCTGACCCACTGCTCCTCTCCAGGTGAACTACACCATCCTAGCAGAGGTCTGCAACCTGTGGCGTAACTATGACGATATCCAGGACTCCTGGGACAGTGTACTCTCCATCCTGGACTGGTTCTTCGCAAACCAGGACGTGCTGCAGCCAGCAGCTGGCCCCGGCCACTGGAATGACCCAGACATGGTGCGGCTGGGGGGTGGGTGCGCTGGCCCGGGTGGGGGATGGGGGATCTCCAGGGTTCCCCTTCTAGGGGCAGGGCAAAGGAGAAGCACCAGGAGCCAGAGCCCTGTTGCAGCAAAGAGGCAAAGTTCGTGTTGCCCTTGGCTAAGCTGTGGGAAAACCCTGTGGTTGCAGTGAGCCCTTCACCACCCAAGTATACCTGTCGAGTTGTGCAGATGTCCTTGTCCTTCCCTGCACAGCCTGAGGGGGGATAGTGGTGAAGCAAAGGGCGTTGGGGAGTGTGTTTGAATGTGTGCTGACTGCTCAGCACCTGGCAGGGGTGGGATCTCCTGGCAGTGGTAAGCTGCTCGAGAGGAAGTAAAAGTGTGTGTGAGGTTTCCCATATGTGCTCCCTCCCAGCACGTTGCAGCATCACCAAAGGTGACAAACAGACCAGTTTCTAACCCTTTTCTGCCTCTCCCATCTTTTCACCCTCTCCCCTCCAGCTTATCATTGGAAACTTTGGCCTCAGCGACGAGCAGTCCCGCTCCCAAATGGCCTTGTGGACGGTGATGGCAGCTCCACTCCTCATGTCCACCGATCTCCGCACCATCTCCGCAAGCGCCAAGGAGATCCTGCAGAACCGCCTGATGATCCAGATCAACCAGGACCCCCTGGGAATCCAGGGCCGCAGGATTGTCAAGGTGAGGGGGAATGTGGACGCATTTGGGAGAGCAGACAGGAGCAGCATGAGGCATCACAGTAAGAAGGGAGAGGGAAGCAATGCAGAGAGACATGAGCAGAACTGTGGGAGCTGGGGACCTGCTGGTGTAGTAGCCCAGCAGGGCAAGGTCAGAAGTTATGGGCCAGTGTTGGTCCCGGCAGCTCTGCCTCACCTACCCATCTCCAACCCTAGGAGAAATCCCACATCGAGGTGTTTCTGCGCCCACTGTCCCAGGCTGCTAGCACCCTTGTCTTCTTCAGCCGGAGGACAGATATGCCGTTTGTCTACAATACCAGCCTGGCCAAGCTCCACTTCCCCAAGGATGCAGTGTATGAGGTGAGCCCCACTGGCAAGCTACATAGCGGGGCAGCCCCACGGCACTTGGATCCCCCTCTTTTCAGCTTCCTCCTGTGACACCCTGTGCATTTTTGTCTGTGGGGCAATGACTCCCACTCCCTGCCTCCAGGGCGAAGGGGCGGGCACCCGTTAGGTTGCCTTCCTGTTGCCCACTGCTGTGCCCCATCCCACCACGCCATGTCAGTGACCATGGCTGGACCTGCAGATGAATGATCTGTGGAAAGCCTGTTAGCCACCATCTCTCTCTTCCAGGTACAAGACGTGTTCAGTGGGAAGATCATCAGTGGCTTAAAGACAGGAGACAACTTCTCAGTTGTTATTAACCCCTCGGGGGTGGTGATGTGGTATCTCTATCCCACGGCGCTCCCGGCACAGCCCTGGCACGTTGTCAGACAGCAAACCCCTGGTGAGGGTTTCCGCCCTGTCCTCCTGTAACGAGGCTCAGCAGCTGGGGGTGCGGGTCAGTGCCGGGGCTGAGCCGCGAGACCCTGAGACACGTGGCTCTTCACTGCACAAGTGCCTTTTGCTGGCATGCTCAGCAGTGCTGGGGAGTGACCATCAGGTCATTTCTCTGGTACCAGCTTGATGATGTCTGCTCAGTCTGCATAAAGCGGGAATTCTTGTTACCCACCTCCTAAGGGGGTGCAGATTGTGATTCTTCAGTGATTACAAGGTCCTTCAAGATCCTCCTGTGGAAGATGCCATACAAGCAGAGTTCGGCCACTGCTGGAGTTTGTCAGCTCTGACACCTGAGCACTTTAATGCTTGGAACTAAGTACCATGAACCGCTGCAGGGGCTGTTCGAACGATGCCTGTAGAAAGGCCTTGGATGCTTTAGGATCTTCTAGGGTGGTGACCTGACCCTCTCCCCACTCCCCACCTCCCCCCTGTGATGACATTAGCCTCAAGGATCAGACCTGGCCACCTTCTTTCCTCTGCTATCATAATTTTGGCTTAGAATAAGGGGCTGTCAATAGGGCTGCCCCCTTCCCATGTACCCTCCCCATGACCAACAGCTCCTGCAGTCATGATGGTCCTGTGTAGACAGGCTTTGCTTGCAGGCCTGACCCTGCTGCCAGGATCCTGGAGGTCAGCACTCTAGTACATGTGCTAGCATGGGATTAAAGCCCCTCTGGTACCTGTTCATAGCAGAGCAGTGCAACACCTGCATTGGCCCTACACAACCCCAGCAGCCTTGCAGTGGTATAGCACAAAAAAAACTGCGGAGCTGTGGTGTGCTGTGCACACAAGCGCTGTTGGGAAGATGCCAATTCTCAGTTGAGGTCTTTTGAGTTGGGAGGTGGTCACAGGTACCTCTGAGCTGCAAGCTGCATCCTGTTCTTGCTCTAGGAGGAAATTCCTGCTAAAAGGGGACTCAGGCCCTCCTCCTGTGGGCTGAACACTAAGGGTTTCTCAGGGAAAGGCTCCTCTCAAGGGCAGCTACATCCACAGCTCCATTCTGAGGAGGAGCCTGCACTAATAAACTGGAATGTGCAGTGGGACAGAGTCTAGAGCTCTCAACTGATTCATCTTCATACAGCACATCCTACAGAGGAGTTTTAGGTTAGACATGGCCCACCCAGACTGGCCGAGAGAGGGGGGCAGCATTTCTGAAGATCGTAGCCCAGGGATACTGACAAGATTTAGCTTCAGGCCACAGAAATACTACATTTCAGATTGCTCCCCCTGACACCCCCCCCCCAAAAAAAAAAAAAATTTCCTTTTTCTGTTCAGATGACAAAGGAGGGTTGGGCACCCACAGGGGTTCCTGCAGGACCAAATGGCTGATTCTGGCCCCTTCCAGAAACTTTCTCCGATACAGCAGCAAGGTACTGAACACAATGCTTGCAGTGCTAATGGGAAAGGATGAAGGCACTTCATGTCTGTACACAGGAGCTGGCTTTGTTCTTGGGGAATTGATTGAAACAAATTAACTGAAATAAAAGGGAAGCAGGTCCCAGGCTCTGTTGCATGCTTATTCACTGCTGCTAGCTATAGCTACTCAGTTAATGCAGGATTACAGGGTCAGTACCTCAAAACAGGAACCATGCTAAGAAATAGAACTGGTTTCCTGTCACAGGCTGGACTAATGCAGAGTAAAAACTTCTTTCCAGTAGTTACACCATGTACAGCAGGGCATCATCTTTCCTTGGCACAAGGGGAAACTTGGATTTTACAGTCTTCAGTTAAGTGCTATTTTCCTTTACCTTGTATTTGTTTTTCCCTCACTAGAAAAAAAATTGGCTAGAGGACTTTCTCTTAAAGACAGGCTTTTCTACTACCTAAAGAGAGGCAGCAGATGTAAATGTACACAGGAGGCCTGCTAAGAATACAGCCTTAGTGAGTGGCAGGGCAAGCCAAATGCAGCATTGGACCTAACCCGAGGACACGAACACATGCCAGGTCTGGGTATGTGCGCGAGAGCAAAGGTACAAACCAGCCTTCCACCCCTTCCCCGGGCAGCAAGAGGATAAGCCCAACCTTCTCTCCCCACAGTTACTTGATTCCATGTCCAGTTTAGCCACGCACCAGGGAGAGAGGAGGACTATCCCACAGCCCACCCGAGAGAACACCACCAGTGGTGGTTGTTTGTCCCAGCCTTCTGTGCAGTAGGCAGGAATGAAGGTCAACACAACACGCATGCAACAGTCAACAGGCAGCTAAAGGTATCAACACTCTTGTATTAAAGTGCAATCCAAAAGTTACAAACATTCTGGGTTTTTTTTTTTTAATACAGAGTTATTAAAATATCTCTAAATCAGACTTAAACAGTGTTTCTAAATAAGGAAATTTACTTCCCCCCATGCAGAGCGGCTCCAGGAATTCACACTTGCAAGTCATGCAAGCCTGACTTACAGGAGAGCCCTGGCACACAGGGGAGCAAGACAGAAAACGCTCCTTCACTGTGAAGGTAGGAAGGCTGTAGTATTGCCTCATCTGTAAAGATCACAGGGGTCTCCACCAGACTAGAGAGGCTCTCTTTAGAGCAGGTTCAATGGCACTATGTCTTAAGGAAGAAGGAAAGGTTGTGGCTGAGCAGCCAGAGTCTCTGCAAGAGAGCCAAGCATTAGTAACATCCACACCAGGCAGCGGTTCCCAGCCAAGACAGGACACTGCACCCCTAAGCAACCCAACTCCAGTATTACAGCATCCACCCACCCATGCTGCTCAGATGCGGGCACACACACCCTGGCTGCAGCAGCGGAAGGGGAAGAGGAAGGCCAGTTCTCCCCCGTGGAGCTAGCACACAGTGTGGAGCCAGCACACAGCAAGAGCTTGCTCAGCAGAGGGAGACAGGGCTGCAGGACCTGTCACCTGACAAGGCTAGTGCCAGGTCATCTTCCTGATGTAACATATTTTGCTCCAAGGCAAGCAGCCTGCTGTGCAGCACTTTGACTCCATTACACTCAAAGAATGTCTGCTTGCCCCAGGATCACTGCACAGATATAGGACCTGCTTCTACGAGAGCGAAAAGAAGGCTGACTCACACACCTGCCAGTCTGTCAGCTCACTGCCCTGCAGCACACCTTTGATTTTCTATTCCATGTCTACAAAGGCAGGCTGATTGGGGCCCATCCCCTTCCCTCTTGCATCGCCAAATGCTTCCGTGTCTCTTAGGATGCACTTCCCAAGTTTGTCACTCCATGACTGTTAGTCCAGGAAGTGAAACACACACTTCCAGCATGTTACAGGATTCCCAGAGTCCCATCTCACACTGAACTGTGCCAGAATTTAAGGAAATGTAAAAGCGCCACCCTTCTGTGGCACCCAAGGGTCTATTATGCAAGGAGCCTCATGGCTCTCTCTACTTTCCCCTTGGATGTTGCTTCAGAAGAAGTCCAAAGTTTGGCATCCCAAGTAGTTTTACTTGAAGATCCCAGAGCCTTATTTTAGTCCTAGATTAGTCATGTTGTCTACCGGTGGTTTATGAAGAAGTCCATCTCTCTCCTCAAGCCAATGGCGGAGCAAAAGGTTAGTGCTTCAGCCCCATGAGATAAAGCAACTAAGCAGTGAAGTGCTGTTGTTCCACCTTGTATTGCCACCGACAACGTTTAAAGAGGGCGGGTGCTCAGGTGCCCAGCACTACACGTATTGTACATATACACAGAGACCGAGAGATATGCTAACCCGAGGGACAGTAACAGCCAAGTTGTCTTCAGGGAGAGAGAGTGTGGGAAACTGGTTGCAGTTTCCTTCTGTTAGTTGTTCTTCTTATCCTCAGGAGGTGCATAAGGAGGTGGCTGATCCTGGAAGGAGATACAGTAGAGTCAACAACCCTGCTTGTCTTGTGATGAGCAATTCCCAAGCTTTCCCAGGCTTGACTTATAAGAAATGACTGCTAGTCAGTGAGCTACAGACAGAGCCAGGTGCTGTGTTTTAAGCTGTCATTCCATCACACCATTCCTCTCTAGTATCAGTTATGCTCCAGGATATATGCTGCCTCCCATAAGTTTTTAGTGAAGGTCCCTTCAAAACCAGGTAACAAATGGTCTATTGCAAACAGACCACTTAATCTGTTTTAATCACCATCCTCCCTTCACTTCCAGGGCTTTGTCTCTGTTGATGTTCATAGCTCTGACCCACCAGTCAGCAAGCCCCTGGGCTGATGGCCAGCTTTGCTGCTCCATCGGTCTCCAGCTCACGACAGAGACAAGCAAGGCAGCGAAGGGCACAGGCAGCCTGGCTGTCACATACCAGATGCAGGCTACAGCCTGCCCCCGGCCGCCCCTACCTCCCCATCTCCATGCAGCCCAGAAAAAAAAAAACTGAAACCCACATGCTCTCATCCTTCAGTGACCTGCTCTTCTTTAACTCTCCCCACTTTCAGACCCAACAGATGCAGAGAGCTTCTGTCAAACTGAATGGCTGTTACTAGATTAATCTTAAGGCTTTCCTCCTTTCCTGATCGAGGATTTAACAAGCTTTCTTCATGGCACTATCATCCACACCTCCCAGGAAAATGCATACTTTCTGTGCATTTACAAAATGAAGGCATGTTAGGCTTTGCTAGGAAAGCAAACCACTGTCCCTGTTAGTGACGGAAGAGGGAGCAGGCACACGCAGGCCAGAGGCACAGTACTCACCATGGGCATGTACACATTGTGTGGGTTGGCCGGGTTGTAATACGCACTGGATGCAGCTTCCGTGGCCGTACTGCCCCCTAGAAAGGAAAGGGAAGAAGCAAGCATAGGATATGCTCATTGACAAGCCTTAGAGAGTGGCCCCAGCCCCAGAGCCTTCCCCCCAGACGTAGCTCTTTTGAGGAGTCATCAACAAACGTGCAAAGACCTAGCAGCAACCGCAGCAAGCTGGGTTTGAATTCAGAGCAGTTCAGGAAAGCTGCAAGCTGGCTAGAGCTGACCAGAAGGTGTGCAATGCAGAGCTGAGCAGCTTCCCCCACACTCTGTTATCCCAAATAATAGATCAAGATGACTTTGAGCTCCTCCAACAACAACAGCAGCTTTCCCACCCCATGCTGTGCCCACAATGACACCCACAGCCCAAGCCCCCATGTACCCTTTTGGACCCGGACACTGGCAGCCCCCGAGTCCCATTACCTGGCATCCCTGGGCCCACCCAAGCTGGGGGAGCTGAGGGGGCTGAGGGTCCTGCAGGAGATGGCCCAGAGTAGGGAGGAGGAGGTGGCACGTACATGGGGTTCATGTTTGGAAGTGGTGGGTAAATACCTGAAAGAGATGACACCAGATTGATGCTTTGGGCCACAGCAATGGGACAGAGGGGAAGGGAGCTCACAGGCCCAGCAGCACATTAGCCCTGGATGAGAGCAGCAGTCAGGGAAGCTCTGCAGGTTTGTCAGGGATGCAGACAGCAGGGATTTGACATTTTGCTCATGCCAGCAGGCAACAATTCTCCGCCAAGCAGCAGCACAATTTACAAATTATAATTTCACCTCCCATCCAGCTGCAACTGGTGTGATCTACAGCACGTGACAGGTTTTTCCAAGGACAAGTATCTTTGATGGGGACAAAACTACAGCAACCCTCACCATACCATTGTGATTTCTTTACAACTAACACTAAACACACTCTGCCAGTCATCATTACACAGCTTCCAAACCTGGAGTCTGGGCATACGGATATCCCATGGGCTGTGGAGCAGGTCCATAGGCATTCATTGGAGGTGGCGCATAAGGATATGGTCCGTTTGGTGGTGGAGGAGGAGCATAGCCCCCCGGTGCAGGTGAATAACCCCCTGGAGCAGGTGGGACAGGTGCATACCCTCCAGGCACAGGTGTATAGCCATAGCCAGGGTTCTGGAGAGGAACGCCGCTGGAAGCTAAGGAGTAGATGTTTAGTAAGCCAGACATCCTTTTGTCACAGTTGAACATATAGAATAAAAGGAAATAAAAAGGAAAACTGCTGTTCATGCAGCACCACTTCCCATAATCTAAACTCAGTCCTGGCAAAGTACTGCACTTGGAAAGCATTAGCCTCCTCACTGCAAATTCACAGTGTGCTAAAGGAAACCAGGTGCAAAAATACTAGCTATCAGGTACCAGTTCAGTCACAGAGCTCCTGCTGCTGGAAGAAAAGACTGTGCTAAAGCAAGCATCAGTAGAGTGGTTTTTACTTCTTTTTAAAACTTTCTTATCAGAAGAAAAAATTACATTTTAAAATGCACATTTTTTTTTTGTATCAGAAAAAAAAATGTACTTGTTTCCCCCATTTGAAAGTTTTAAATGGAAGTTATTATTTTAAATTTATTTCCCCTCGCCCTCCAGATGTGGACATGTTAACTTCCCCCAGCTTACTCCACTATTATAGAAGTGAGCTGAGGGTAGGTAAGCAAATCAGTTTTTCGGCATCACATATTTCAACTTTATTCCAGGAGGAATAAGGTTCTGTAGAACAAGGTGGTCCACCTCAGAAGCACAAACTCCAGAATATACTGATTGCACAGAGCATTACAATGAAATAAAGAAAAAAAAAAGACTGAAAGGAGACTGAACAGAAGTTCCCCTGGAAAAAAAAAAACCACAACATTGCTGTGGAAGAGCTCATAGAAGAGCACACGTCTTCCCCCAGCTCATGAAGTTCAAAAGGAGCATGTTCTCTAACTAGCTCAGCCAGTCATGGGGGAACTGCAGGCTCTGAAGATCCCTTACCACTAGAGGCAGCTTTTAACATCAACTGTCCAAACTCAATGGCTCCTCCACTGTTGAAAGTCAGTTTAAATGTCGCCTGCCCTTCCCAGCCACCTAGGAGAGACAGAATTAGAATTGAAACAGACTATTAACCTCCTCAGTAGCAGTCAAGCCAGAAAAACAGTTAACACACCAGTTATTTTCTTCTTCTTTATTTCAAACCTATCTTGCATCATGCTGCCAGGGGGAAAGAATCATGGCACTGCTATCAGACATCCCTCAAAATAGTATCTCAAGAAGATCAGGTCTTTATTTGTTTACCCTTTAAAAGACAACCCCCACTATAGCTATGTAGAAGCAGCTTATTCTAGACAATAGGATGTTTTGTTCTTTCCTGAAAGGTTTAATAGAATCTAATAATGAACACAGTGTAAAAAAAGAACACTTAATTCACTGAGGATTTTAATCAAAAGCCCTCAAATTAAGTTTTATTGCTGAGCTCGGTGGACTACAGCTGAGGATCTGCAACTCAAGCTACGATTAAATCAAATGGAACATTTTAAATCTCTTTGACCCACAGAAATAAATGCTTAGGTATAATAGCACTTTTTTCAGAAAAAGAAAGCAAGTAGGTGATTGTGAGAATAAAGGACTGGTGGTTAGCAAAAATGTAAACTGACCTTCAGGTTAGAGAAAGATTGTGGACAAGTGAGGCACCACTGCAGAAAGCCCTACTGCACGTGTGAGAAGCAGTAGGTTCAAAACACCATGTAGTGGAAAACAGACAAAACCTGAAGGTCAGTAGAATGTAAAACCAAAACTGAGATGATGTAATCCTTGGTAATATAGTGGGAGCTTGCATACAGGACAGGAGCATTGGCTCTCAGCAATGCTCCCCTTCAGCAAACCAGAGTGTGCTTGGTGTGTTTCAGCACATCGTCGGGATCCTGGTGGGCCGGAGATCGGCAGGTGATGACATCACAGGATAAGAATGTTTTGTTTTGTATGGGGTTTTTGGTGTTGTACTTGGGGTTTGGGGGGGGGGAGGGGGCCTTGTTTTTGGTTTTAGAGGGTGGGTTTTTTTAGAAAAATTATGTCTTTTAAATAAAAGATTTAATAAAATAAGATTTATCTTCCTTGTCTGACTAACAATGAAATTAGTAGGAGTAGGGAGTCTCTTGGGGACAAAACAGAAATAAGGGACAGATATATAACAGAATAATCCACCATGGATAAAGTCATCCCCTTGGAGATTCACCTCTTTACAATTACTGTCTTAGTATGACTTCAGCCCAAGAAAGTGGGCTAATCCACAATCCAGATGACCCAGGCACTTTAAGAAGTTGTTAGGAACAGGAAGCAAAAGCACAAACTCTCCAGACGCCATCAAAATGCACATTAACTAGTTCTAGGGCTGAAGAGAGAATAAATTTGAACCAGAAGCCTTGTTTTTAATCCCTGTTTACCTTCTGCAATTCCCTATGCTTGGTCACGACCATGACTAAGTCTTACCACAGCTTCATCATTAAACTGGGAACAAAGCTAAATCAATGACATACAGCAGCATCCTAGATGCACGCAAACATACCCAATCTGGCAAGTGACTCATGACCTCCAGAAAACAAAAGCGGTTGTTAATTCTGTCTATCAATACCAATGACCAGTGACTTACCCACCCTTCCAGGTCAAAGACAGGAAAACAAGCACATGTGGAAACCAAGTAAATGTGACATACACAGCAAGACAGAAGTTACAGGATTAAACAAAAGCCATCCTGTGAAAGTCAGATCTGCTTTGGGGGCAGAAAGTAAAACTGAAGCAGTGCCTTAAAGTTCAGAAGAAACAAGTTATCTTAGAATGGACATGCTAGCTGTACTGCTGCAGCTACTCTGTCTGTCTCTCCTGTGCACAGAAGCAGTCTATCTGATGTTCAGCGAAAGATAACAGGACTTGTGACACTTGGGAAGAGTTCAGTCTACAAAGCACAGGCACATACCTCCTGCCTCAGCCTGAATCTGTCCTTTGATGTAATTGGCAGAGAACACAGGCTGCTCAATTGAGCAGCCTTTCACCAAATAAAACGGCATCATGAAAGACAGCATAGGATCCTTGCCCTTCGACACAAATATCACCTGCAAGACAGAAGGGAACACTTCTGAATTACTTGAATTAGATATAGAGGGCAGTCATGGAGTTCTAGTTGCAGCAGCATTCAAAAAGAGGACAACTTAACTCCTCGTATCGGTATGCACTGTGTTATTTCACAGCTTTAATACTGTGGGATCCCGAACAGATCTGATGGTACCTGGCTCACTTGCCTGACACATGTATGTTGCAAAATAATATACCACTCAAAACATACACACACATTTACAGAGTTTTGTTGTTCTGCTTTGTAAGGATAAGCTATGACAGTTTTCAAAGAAAGCAATATCGACTGACACATTATATGAAATATATTCCCTACAAAGGACTGCACGTGCCTTTGTAGGGAATTGGGATTGTGACACAGGCACAAACTATCCTATTTCCACCTTCTCTTCTCCTACTTAGTGCTCTCACAGCGGTTCCTCCCATAACAAAACTCACTTCTTCTATCACCAACTAGATTTCTGGTCTAAAGTCTACAAGATCTCTTGAGAAAGAAGACGCCCAAGTAGCATCAGACTTACCCTGTAAGGGGTGAGATATAACATCCCTTTCTTGGTGCCTTTGAAGGCTTCAGGCTTGCCCGTCATGTCACTGAAGGAGAGCTCCACATCTTTACACTGTTTGAGAACACTACAGGAGGAAATCGGACAAATGTGAGAGACAACCTCAGCAACAGCTCTGAGACACACACACAGACACTCACTCATCACACAGGGAGGGGGACAGCACGCCAGGAACTCTGAATATTATCCCTGAACATTCAGTTCTGATGTGGGCCCTGCAGTTTTTCCTTTGAACAGAGAGGGATGATTTAGGCAGAGTGGAAGAATTAATCCTCTCAGCTGGGAGGACCCCTGCTCCTCCTCCACATAGGGAAGCTTTAAATGACAGTTTGTCTTTCTGCCTTCAAAACCATGAGGATGAGGAATTCTTCTCTCCACATAGAAAGAGCCTCAGCCCAAAAGTCAGGGCACAGAAAGGGCTGAGGTGTCTGAAACTGCCCCCTGGAAGCCAAGGCATCACCTCAGACCAAGGCCCTCTCTCAAAGTCCATGCTCAAACCCAGGGCCGGACACCGCACGGGAACACAGCACTGCTGGAACACTGCACCCACTGTGCAAACTGAGGAAGCTGTTTCACTAATATCCTGACCGCTGACCCTACTTCATATGATTTAAGTAAATATTTTTAATAAACAGCTCCATGCTAAGGAACAAAACAAGGAGCCACTAACATCAGTGATAGTTATTATTGTTGGATATCTTCGGGAATATTATCGAAGTTTGCTGATGACACAAAGCCAAATGAGAACTGTGAACACTGGAGGGCCAGAGTACGGAGTTGCCTGAAAAATTAAATGTGTTTTCAGGAAAAATGAAAGAGTCAGTCTGGGAAAGTGTGTCACTGAATCTACAGGGCAGATCCTAAACATACCACCTAGTAAGAAAATTTGCAGAATAAACATAAGAGCCTTGGAGGTGACGAGCTTGCAGCACGTTATGCTGGCAGAAGAATCCAAGCAGTTTATACAGTTCAAGAGCATGGAAAAAGAAAACACAAAACCCTAACTCAACACGAGCCTGAAGAGGCCAGATCTAAAGTAATCTCGACGTAATTCTGATCAGCAAACTGTAGAAGTCAGATCAAGTCCGGAAACTGCAAAAAATTATTGGGGAAAAGGAAGAATCAGCAGGGCCACCATATGAGGAAACAACCAAAAACCTGTAGTTACAGGTCACGTGCACTTTAGGGAAGAGAAAACCGTAACAGTACACATGTACCTGAAAAATGCAGCTATCCAAGAAGGAAGACATTAAAAAGTCTAGTTTTAATGAAAAAAAAAAAACAAAAAAACAAAACAACCTGACTAAGATATTCTACTGGGACATTACTTCATAGCTGAGCTAGATGCAGATTCTCAGACTGGCTGGAAGGGACACACTGATGAGGCAGCAGAGCTCTTTCTATTTCCAAGATACAAAGAGGAAAAATTTATTCTAAGCTAAATAAAACCAACTCCTCAACAGCTTAGATCTTACCATAACACTTCTTCAACAATGTCCTGTAGCAGCGTTTCACGTCAGTTTGCCTCATTGAGAAGAATTTCTACATAGTCACTGTAATGTTTGTTCCTTCCCAGCTAGTCACACAAGCAAATAACATGCAGCCACCACCACTGGGTGTAATGAGGCTGCTGAACTGGTTTGCACCAGCGTGCCCCTCCAGGGCTGTCAGGGGAGGGCTGTGCACCCCGTGGAGCCACACTGCACCCACCTGTGACTGAGAAGCACCTGGAAGAATGGCTTGAGGTCAAGGATATAGAGATATCCTTCAAACCAGCAAAAGCTCTCCCTGTCAAAGGACTTCCCTGACCGATGTATGAGCAGTCAGTTACAAACTCAGCATTATTTGGAGCATATTTCTAGAGTGTTTTTCCTATTGTTTACCAACCCCAATCCAACGCAATGATCCTTTTACTGGGTGTCTTGTTTCTAGGATTTCCTCAGCCAAGGCCAGGATGCCGGCAGCGCCCCAACACGACCACAGCAAAAAAAACCCCGAAAAGCCGGTCTGTCCATCCCCACTCGGGGTGAGGGAAGGCTGCGCTTCCGCAGAGGGACCCGCTCTGCTCAGGCTCGCCCCCGCCGACAACTTTTCCCTGCTTTGAATACAAGTGACAAAGACTCCTACTTTCAGTGGTGCCGGAGAGGCAGAGACCACTTAACTAATCAGACAGCATAAGCAAAACCCAGCTCCTTGT